TCCCCATCCCCCATAGGGCTGTCCCCATCCCACATAGGGCTGTCCCCATCCCACATAGGATTATCCCCATCCCCCACAGGATTATCCCCATCCCCCATAGGGGTCTCCCCATCCCCCATAGGTCTGTCCCCACCACCTATTGGGGTCTCCCCATCACCCATAGGTCTGTCCCCATCACCCATTGGGGTCTCCCCATTCCCCATAGGGTTGTCCCATCACCCATTGGTCTGTCCCCATCCCCTATAGGGCTGTCCCCATCCCCCATTGGGGTCTCCCCATCCCCCATAGGGGTCTCCCCATCCCCCATAGGACTGTCCCCATCCCCCACAGGATTATCCCCATCACCCATCGGTCCGTCCCCATCACCCCTGTGGTACCACCTCTTCCAGGTTCTTCTGGGGGGGGTGGGGGGGTCTGGAACCCATCCACCCCATCACCCCGTGTCTCCCCACAGGACTGCAGCGTTCTGGCCTTCGTGCTGGACCACCTGCTGCCCCACACACAGAACGCTGAGGACAAGGACACGCCGGCGCTGGCGCGGCTCTTCCTGGCCAGCCTGGCCGCCGCCGGCAGCGGGACGGACGCGCAGGTGGCTCTGGTCAACGAGGTGAAGGCAGCGCTGGGACGGGCCCTGGCCATGGCCGAGAGCACCGAGAAGCACGCCAGGTGGGGGTGGGGGGCATGGAGGGTGGCACCTCGCTCCCACCACCCAGCGTGGGGTGTCCCCAGCACCACTTGGGTGTCCCCAGCACCACTTGGGTGTCCTCAGCATCGCTTGGGTGTCCCCAGCACCACTTGGGTGTCCCCAGCACCAGTTGGGTGTCCTCAGCATCACTTGGGCGTCACCATCACCACTTGGGTGTCCCCATGGCCCCATGGGGTGTCCCAGTCACCAGTTGGGTGTCCCCAGCACCATTTGGGTGTTGTCAGCATCACTTGGGCGTCACCATCACCACTTGGGTGTCCCCATGGCCCCATGGGGTGTCTCAGTCACCAGTTGGATGTCCCCGACACCAGTTGGGTGTCCCAGTCACCAGTTGGGTGTCCCCATGGCCCCATGGAGTGTCCCCATCACCACTTGAGTGTCCCCATCACCACTTGGGTGTCCCCATGGATCCATGGGGTGTCCCAGTCACCACTTGGGTGTCCCCAGCACCAGTTGGGTGTCCTCAGCATCGCTTGGGTGTCACCATCACCTCTTGGGTGTCCCCATGGCCCCATGGGGTGTCCCAGTCACCAGTTGGGTGTCCCCATCGTCAGTAGGGTGTCCCCATGGCCCCATGGAGTGTTCCAGTCACCACTTGGGTGTCCCCATCACCACTTGGGTGTCCCCAACACCACTTGAGTGTCCCCATGGCCCCATGGGGTGTCCCAGTCACCACTTGGGTGTCCCCAGCAGCACTTGGGTGTCCCCATGGCCCCATGGGGTGTCCCCGTCACCACTTGGGTGTCCCCATCACCACTTGGGTGTTCCCATGGCCCCATGGAGTGTCCCCAACACCAGTTGGGTGTTCCCAACGCCAGTTCGGTGTCCTCTTCACCCTTGGGGTGTTCTTTTCATCCTTGGGGTGTCCCCATGGGGCGTCCCCTACCACCCATCGCCAGTTGGGTGTCCTCAGCACCTTTGGGGTTTCTTCTTCATCCTTGTGGTGACCCCATGGCCCCATCTGGTGTCCCCCACTACCCATCGTGGAGTGTCCCCAACACCACTTGGGTGTCCTCAGCATCCTTGGTATGTCCCCATCCTCCTGTCCCTCACTGGTCACTTCAGTCCCACCACTCATTTTGGGGTATCTCCATCACCAGTTGGGTGTCCTCATCACCAGTTGGGTGTCCCCACCACCCGTGGGATGTCCCCATCCCTCAGCACCTTGGTGTCACCAAAGTCCCACCATTCATTGCGTGTTGGCTCCATCCTCATCACTTGTGGAGGTGACCCAGCCCCACGGAGGTGACACATCCCTTTGTCCCCACGCAGGCTGCAGGCCGTCATGTGCATCATCAGCACCATCATGGAGTCGTGCCCTTCCACCTCCAGCTTCTACAGCAGCGCCACCAAAACCCAACACAACGGCATGAACAACATCATCCGCCTCTTCCTCAAAAAGGGCTTGGTCAACGACCTGGCCAGGGTCCCACACAGCCTCGACCTCTCTAGGTATACCCTACGTGTGGGGCTGGGGACACGTGGTGGGGTTGGGGACACGTGGTGGGGTTGGGGACACCCACTCTTGGTCACCATGTTGGGTATCGCTATTTCTACATTGGATGGATGGCGTTGGTGTTGTGATGTTTGCACCAAAATGATGGGGTTTGGGGTCACCTGAGTGCCACAGAGGGGACATTTGGGGACAGCCAGACCCCCGATGTCCCATCACATGTCCCCTCTCCCTCGGTGTCCCATTGTGTGTCCTCTCCCCCAAAGATGGCCAACACCACATGGTGTCTTGACACCAAACATCTCTATTTCTATGTTGGATGGATGGCGTTGATGTTGAGATGCTTGCACCAAAATGATGGGGTTTGGGGTCACCTGAGTGTCACAAAGGGGACATTTGGGGACAGCCAGACCCCTGGTGTCCCATCGGGTGTCCCTTCCCCCCAACACAGCCAACACCACATGGTGTCATGGCACCAAATATCTCTATTTCTACGTTGGATGGATGGCGTTGATGTTGAGATGCTTGCACCAAAATGTTGGGGTTTGGGGTCACCTGAGTGCCACAAAGGGGACATTTGGGGACAGCCAGACCCCTGTGTCCCATCGGGTGTCCCCTCCCCCCAACACAGCCAACACCACATGGTGTCATGGCACCAAACATCTCTATTTCTACGTTGGATGGATGGCGTTGATGTTGTGATGCTTGCACCAAAATGATGGAGGTTGGGGTCACCTGAGTGCCACAGAGAGGACGTTTGGGGACAGCCAGTCTCATCATGTGTCCCCTCCCCCTTGGTGTCCCACTGTGTGTCCTCTCCCCCAAAGATGGCCAACACCACATGGTGTCATGGCACCAAACATCTCTATTTCTACGTTGGATGGATGGCGTTGATGTTGTGATGCTTGCACCAAAATGATGGGGTTTGGGGTCACCTGAGTGTCACAAAGGGGACATTTGGGGACAGCCAGACCCCTGGTGTCCCATCGGGTGTCCCCTCCCCCCAACACAGCCAACACCACATGGTGTCATGTCACCAAACATCTCCATTTCTACCTTGGATGGATGGCGTTGATGTTGAGATGCTTGCACCAAAATGTTGGGGTTTGGGGTCACCTGAATGCCACAAAGGGGACATCTGGGGGCAGCCAGACCCCCGTGTCCCATCGGGTGTCCCCCCCCTCTCCCCCCTCCTCCAGCCCCAACATGGCCAACACGGTCAACGCGGCGTTGAAGCCATTGGAGACGCTGTCGCGCATCGTCAACCAACCCAGCGGGCTCTTTGGCACCAAGGGCTCCTCCAGCAAGAGCAAAGGAGATGGAGGTGGGGGGTCCCGCGACGCCGGCGCAGCCCCCCCGGATGGAGGTACAGCCTCTCTTCCCCCACCCTACACCCCCCCACACACCGTTGTCCCATCTCATGGGGGTGTCCCCCCGTATCACCCTTCCGTGTCCCCACATCTCCTCTGTGACCCCTCTTTGTGCTACTCTCGTCCCCTTCAGTCACTTTCCCATGTCCCCAAATCCCTTCCGTGTCCCGAAACCCCCTTTGTGTCCCCTCTGTGACCCCTCCATATCCCCAGATCCCCTTTGTCCCTTCCACGTTCCCTCCATGTCCCCAGATCTGCTCTGTGTCTCCTCTGCATCCCCTCTGTGTCCCCAAATCCCCTCCATGTCCCCAAATCCCCTTTGTGTCCCCTCTGTGACCCTTCCATATCCCCAAATCCTCTTTGTCCCTTCCACGTTCCCTCCATGTCCCCAGATCTGCT